ATGGTGTCTGTCTGTCTCTCCCAGGATTCTGTTCTGTCTTCCCCACCTACCTGAGTTCCTCCCTATCAACTAAGCCAAGGCAGTTTCTTCTTTTTTATTTTTCCATTCAAAAAATTTCACTCTCGGGCTGGAGAGATGGCTCAGTGGTTAAGAGCATTGCCTGCCCTTCCAAAGGTCCTGAGTTCAATTCCCAGCAACCACATGGTGGCTCACAACCATCTGTAATGAGGTCTGGTGCCCTCTTCTGGCCTGCAGAGATACACACAGACAGAATATTGTATACATAATAAATAAATAAATATTTAAAAAAATTCACTCTCCCCCTCCTCCCATTTTCCTCTCACTCCCCCACTTACCCTCCTCCCTCCCCCTCCAGCCTTAAGAGAAGGCAGGGTACCCTGCCCTGTGGGAAGTCCAAAACCGTCCCCCTATATCCAGGCCTAGGAAGCTGTGCATCCAAATAGACTAGGGTCCAAAAAAGCCAGTACATGCAGTAGAAACAAGTCCCAGTGCCCAAGGCAGTTTCTTTAATAACCAATGAAAGCAACACATATACAGAAGAGCCTTCTACACCAAGACACAAACACACAAAAGAACCACAAACACACATGCAAACTGTTCACTTAACTTTTGAAACTCACTGGATAACTAAAAAAAAAAAAAATGATGAAAATTGGTGAGAGTTGTGAGAATATGAGAATAGATATAAAATAACAAAAATTGAAAGAATTCCACAAGGTTGGGCGGTGGTGGTGCATGCTTTTAATCCCACCACTCAGGAGGCAGAGGCAGGCTGATTTCTGTGAGTTCGAGGCCAGCCTGGTCTACAAGAGCTAGTTCCAGGACAGGAACCAAAAGCTACGGAGAAACCCTGTCTTGAAAAATACCCCCCCCCCAAAAAAAAAAAGAGCAGTCAGGGTTCCCTGCCCTGTGGAAAGTCCAAGGTCCTCCCCCCTCCGTCCATGTCTAGGAAGGTGAACATCCAAACTGGCTAGGCTTCCACCAAGCCGGAACATGAAGTAGGATCAAAACCCCGTGCCATTGTCCTTGGCTTCTCATCAGCCCTCATTGTTCACCATGATCAGAGAGTCCGGTTTTATCCCATGCTTTTTCAGTCACAGGGGGAGGGGGAGAGGAGTGGGGGGAGGGGGAGAAGGGTGGAAGGAGGGGGAGGGAAATGGGAGGCTGAGAGGAGGCGGAAACTTTTTTTTTCCTTTTCTCAATAAAAAAATAATAATAATAAAAGAAAGAAAAAAAAGAAAGAATTCCACAATTTAACACAAGTAATAATCTAGTTTGACATTAAAGGGATTCATATCAATTAAAAAAACACTAAAAACATATAACCCTAATCAGTTGGAATGGCCAAGCCTTTTACTATCAGAACTGTAGACCAGGTACTCTGTCATTGCTGTAGTTGCTTCTGCTTGAAGATTAACAAAACGATTTTAACAGAAAGAAGGAATGAAAGTAACCACATAAATTCTCTATCTTTTAAACATGATTTAACTGGGAACTATAAAGCACTAAATAATAAGAAGCTATCAGAGAATTCAAAGACTGCACTCAATGAAAATCTGTAGTAAGCAATGAGCCAAACCTGTAATGTCCCCTCAGTGGCTTCAGAGAGCAGAACCTTAGGAGTGAAATGACAGCTTCCTCCATAATGAACTACCTTTCAGAAAGAAAGGCTGTATAGACTCTAAGCTGAGGGATTCGGCTGCCAAACATTGTAGGTAACCTCCAACACCACAGCAATTGAGAAAAAGTCTCACAAGAAATGCCTTAGCACAGTTAGTTGAAAGAGAGTGAAAATTCATAAGTATTTAACAGATATTATACTGAGCTCCAACCTTTTCTTTCAAATATTAGCTTAATATGTACATATTTGTTAGCTTCATGTTGCATAATATTTAATGGTGTCCATAAAATCTATTTTCCATCCTCTTTCTAAGCCCATCTGTAATCTACCATAAAGTGTGTTCTATAGCTTATATCTGTTTCTTTAACAACTATACACCCCTACTTCTGGTGACCCACTTGCAGCATTTGCAAACTTAATATGTAAGATCTGGAAGTTAAGAACCTTGGGTCTAGTAATAGAGGTGGTTGCCCATTCTGTTGGAAAACATTAATATATCTATTGAATTAAATCACATGAAAGCTGCATGATCATTTGTGTTTGTCATGTCATTGGGAAAGTAGGAAGAAATAAAAAGAAATTATAGGAGTTAAGAAAACCCTGTTTACAAGGCAGGTTGAGCTTATAACTGAGCGATGAGTGTTTGTAAATGTAAAGAGTTCACAGGACTCTCTTCTTGTTGACTTGTGCAGGACAATCGTGAGTGGATAAGCATCTGCCTTGTTCCAATAAAGCTAGTGCAATTAAGGATGCTGATACCTCATTGAGAACAATTCTTCCAGTTAAAATACCTTGAAAAACACACCGTCAAATATTTTAGAAGCATTAACAACACCAGAGGAAATTGCCATTGACTTAGAGACTTACCTGTCTGAAGGTTGTATGTGGCTGTCATCTTAAAGAAAGAGCTACTGCCTGATAGGGTACCCTTCCTTTCTCAGGGATAAGATGAAGGACTTATTTCTTAAAACCTGGAAGTCCCACACTGAGGTATGTAAGTGGGTGCATCTGAAAGTTGCAAGAGGTGGCTTATAATAGAAACAACTTGTGTCTTCCCAGATTTGCATAGCCTTATCCCTCTATTACCTAAAAAGCCTTGGAAACACCTTATTTTAGAGCACTATCAGCTACATGCTGCTCCCAGTATCAGGCTGGGCTATGCTTCAGACTCTAAGCCAAGATTGTGCTTTTTTCATCCCTCCCAGTCTTGAAGTTTATTGCTTTTACTCTTTTAACTCTTTATTCATTGATCTTTTGGAAGACCACCACCCAGCCCCCAAACAAATACATGGAGGCTTATCCTTACTTATACATGTTTGATCTTAGCCTGGCTTAATTCTAGCCAGCTTCGCTCAAATTATCTCTCTACCTTTTCTTCTGGGCTTTTTCCTTTTCTTATTTCTGTATGCATTTTTTTTTTGCAGCATACTCCATAGCTTGCTGTAGAGTGGTGTGGCTGGGTGACTGGTCCCTGATGTCCTCATGCTTCTTTTCTTGTCCCATCTCTATTTTCCCCAGATCTCTTCTATTTACTCTCTCTGCCTGCCTGCCCCACCTATCCTTTCTCCTGCCTTGCTGTTGGCCATTCAGCAAGTTATTTTACCAATCAGGTAAAGTTTAGACAGCAAAGTAGCAGAGCTTCACAGCATTAAACAAACGCAACATAAAAGAATACAATTTATCTTTACATCATTAAAACACGTGTTCCACAGAATAAACAAATGTAACATATCAATTAATATTCTACAACACAGTCTCAGTGAAATGCCATGCTGCATGTATTCAATGGATTCCTAAAGGGTTGTTTAAATGGGAAAAGTGACAAGTCCCAGAAGTATGAGACTGTGGTGAGAGATAATATCCTCCCATCTATCTCATATTCTAATAGAATGATCAAAGTGGGCTAGTTCTCTGAATCTACTTTAATTCCATGGTGAAATACAAGCAGTTGCTCTTCTTTGTTGTAGCCATACCAGTTTAATAATGAGCCACCTTAGAGTCGCTGTTCCTCCTTCTCTGCTTCATCCTTTTCCCTCATTATTGAATGCATCCTAATAAGGCATCGCCTGTGAGCTTTGCTTCTGGCTGTTTCCAGAAAGTTCTGGATAAGATGAACTATTTTGAGTCAGTCTTTTCAGAAGTTCTTTGTAAACTGAACCCCAATCCATGGTTTTATCTGAGGATAGCAGGAAGGGATTACACCACCACCTGAAGACTCTACTTCAATAGTCACATTTTGAACCAGCAATAAAATGAAATGCTAGTGCTCATCCAATACTCTGTCCTGTCATAACTCTCAGGTAAGCATTCCACCAAAGTTTTGCCTATGTGTACTTGAAAGTCTCTTTCCTTCAGCTATTTACTTCACTAAGCATCTTTTTATAACTTTTGAATTGATGTGTTGTTTAAGGTAGAAATATTTGCACACTTTAGGAAAGCTCTGATGGCATATTGCTACAATAAAATACACTTTAAAATATTACTCTCTATAAAATAGAGATTTAGAAGGAAGCAGTTGCTCTTAAAATTTGCTGAGCAGGATTACATGTAGGAACAGGATGCTTAATGGTTTTTCAAATACAACTCTATCTAAAATGAAGATATGAAATTTATGTTTTGGGAACAAAACCAAAAATGTATAAAAGATATTGAAATTCTGTTCTGTCACCTTTAGATCACAGGGTAGAGAAAAGGTCACATTTCAGAAAAAGAAAATTAATCCATTAGCACAAAAGACTGACATATAATATCAGATTGTAAATTGCTAATTTATAAGAAGAATTCTGAAGGTTTTGTTGCCATTGGCTCAGTTGAAACTTGCAGATATATTTAGTTATTAAATATAATGTCACTGACATACTGTAAATTATGTTGGCTTTTAGTAACAAGATGCCCAGTAGATGTCAAGAGACTAAGCAGGCTCTAAAAGAGATGATTGCAGACATTCAGTCTTCACTTGCAGTCAAGGTGGCCAAGCAGCAGGAGCTTGTCATACATAGATTGTTACAGCTAAGCAGAGGAAATCAATCCACAGTGGCACAGAATCCAAAGAAGGATCATATTAAGTTCTGATTTTAAAAATTCATTCTGTTTTTTTTTAAGTTGTCTTCTTTAAGATATGTCAAAAATTTAGGAAATGTTTTCCTTAAATAGTTCTCAACACAACAAAAGGAAATACACAATTCAGGGAGTATCAGTAGAAGTCTCAGCACAGAGGTGGTGATGTCTTACCAGTAACAAATTATAGAACTAAGACAGAGGGAGCAGATGTCTGTTGCCTCAGGGAAGGAACACCACATCCATCTTGTTTTCCTCTGTGGAAAGTTCAATGGGTTATGAAACATGCTTTCCTCCTCAGGTTTGACAAACGGTCTTTGAGAAAGTCATCAAAGCTCTGAGACCATGAATTTTCCTTTTCACTTTGGCCTCCAATTAACTCCAATTCTCAGTGGAATCTGAGGTATATCATAGATGTTTTTGTTTGTCTGTTTGTTTGTTTTGGTTCTTTGAGACAAGGTGTCTCTGTCTAACAATCCTAGCTGTTTTGGAACTCACTTTGTAGACAGGCTAGCCACAAACAGAGATCTTTCTTCCTCTGCCTCCCAAGTGCTGGGGTTTAAAGACCTGTGCCACCACTGCCTAGCTGAGATGTTTACTGAATGAATAATGACTGTCCTTCTCTACAGTAATAATAATACAAAGTATTTAAAAGGATAAATAAGCATGATAGATGAATACAAAAAAGTTAGCACATGATATTATTCTGTCTAGTTACCACATACTGCTCAGAAGCAGTACAATTCAAGATAGTCCCTGTGTTCTATCTATGCCTCTACCATTCTAATTTTATGAGATCCCTAACAGATACCAATTGATGATGACAAGAAAATGGTTCTTTGTACTCTTCTTATTAAATTACTGCTGAAACATAACATTCTTTCTTAAAATGCTTCATTATCTTCTGAAAGATTGCTATGGTAGACTAGTATACCTACCCCTTACCTACATCTCCCTCCTACTCCATATATCACTGATGAATCCAGAACTTTCTCCTTTGTCCCTGTATTATCTATATGCAGCTCAATTTGACCCCTAAAACAGAGACATGCCTCTGCACATTCGCATTTGCTTTATTTACTTGTTCAGCTCACCAATTCATTGCACCCTTTTGATTGTAGAATAGCTTTTGAATGTATTCTAGACACAGTTTATGTTTATAATTAAGAAAAATACTTGCTTGAATATCAATCTGTTGAGATAAATCTTTCTCATCTACCACAAAATGTATCCAGTAGCTATTTGTTTTGCAAGTTTTTATGTCCCTAAAGACCAATACAAAAGAAAACACAGGGTAAGCAATTATTTAAAGTACTGCCACACTTTAAATTGAGTGTTTAAGTGACCTTGTGATTTCTGTTTTCTCTAAGTAACCTTACACTGAGTCTATTGTTTAAAGTACCAGCAAGGGATTTGCAGGGATAACAGCATAAAGAACTACTGACACTGCTAGGCACTCCCTAAAAAGAATCCTTAAAGTAATTGTGCCTCTCCAAGGAAATCATGTCAATCAGCACATACAGGAATATCTCGACTCCCCCTCTCCCCTGCTTCTAAGCTCTGAACTGGTCAACATGAATTTATATCTAATCCTTTAGACTCAAAATAATCACAAAGAACTATATTATTTCAAACACTGCTTGGCCAATAGCTTAAGCATATATCTAACTAGCTCCTACATCTTAAATGAACTCATTTCTATTATTTTATATTTTACCATGAGGCTGCAGTGGTGGTACATGGATTTTCCCTAACTCTGCCTTCTTTCTCCCAGCATTCAGTTTAGAATTCCCTGCATAGCTCTATTCTGCCCTATCACAGGCCAAACCAGTTTCTTTATTCATTAACCAATAAAAGCAACACATACAGAAGGACTTCCCACATCATCTCCCTTTTTCTATGAAAATGAAAAGGAAGATTTTTACTTTAACATAGTAAAACTGCATGTAAAGAAAAAGCAGGTATCAAGCAAGAATTATAGTTACAATATTTATATCTACTTTATCTTTTATCATAACTAAGGAAAACTAAAACTATCTATTCTTCAACTCCATAAAAGACTTCAGAAGGATGTAATAATACTAAGTTAACAGGAAGTGTAGTGTAAGAAACTTCCAAAACTCTAGAATTGGCAGAAACATCTCGTTGCCTGGACAGTCACCCAAAGTTCTTCTGTAACATTGGGGTACCCATGTTTAGCCTACTGGACCATAACATCCAGCAGACTTTTCATAAAGCAGGAAATTTCAAAGATAATTCTACCTATATTGGCAGTTTGTCCGTCACTTTCTTTTGTGTCCTGCAGAATGTCTGGTAGACTCTTTCATGAAGCAGGAAACATGAAGCAGGAAACATCTCACTTTCTTATAAATTCAGCAGTTAGTTTTCTGTGGGTCCAGCATGTCCAGTTTATACAGCATAACATCAAGCAATCTAGCCAAGAGCAGTATCTTGCTCAAATGACTAGCAAACTCCATAAGGGGGCTCTTAGATGCCCAGCATCCTCTTGAAGTAATTGGAGCTGTCAGGAGCAAATATATCATATTTTATTTTTATTTTTGAGATCAAATAAATTACATTTCTCCCTTCCTTTTTCTCCCTCCAAACCCTTCCATATAATATCCCTTTCCATTTTCCTTCAAGTTCATGACATTTTGTTATTAATTGTATTGTATTATATATACGCACATATGCATTATATATAATTTATGCTCTATAAATATATTATTCCTAAATATCACCTACTCAGTCAATAAAATATTACTTCTAAGTACTTGTATGTATGTTTTCAGGGCTGACCATTTGGCACTGGTCAAGCAACTTGTGATATCTTCCCTATGGATAAAAAACATCCTCACACCTAAAGCTCTAGGTACATTTAGGAAGAGTGAACAAAAAGAATGTAAGAGCCAGAGAATAGGGGAGTTTTCTTTGCAACTGTGTCTCTTGGTAATGTCAGAAGCTATAGTCATGACTCACCAACATGAATGTCCAAAGTCCAAATGTGAGTTGAATAAGAATGAAAAATAGTGGATATGCCAAAATGGATGGGGAGAAACTCACAAGGCCACAACCCTAACAACAGACCTTCTTAATGTTATTTATCTTTCCAATAGTTTCCTCTTAACTTTAGCCAGTGTTCTTACTGAAGCACCACTGCTATGAAATATGTGGACACATCTTTCAACATCCTAGCCTACTTCACTGATTTTAGATTACCAGACATCAGCTTACCAGTGTCCCTGGCAATAGGCAACCATCCTCTCTTAGCTTTATCCTGTTCCTAACATTCCCCTTGCTTCATTTATACAAGCCCAGCCTCCTTGCTCTATTGACACCTGTTTACATCTTCACTGAAAAACTTTCACCAAAGTGAATTTCCAATTCCAGTAAAGTAACTATGAAATCAAGCTCTATTACATAGTGCAGGCCATTGTTGATCAATCATAAAATCTGCATAATTATGAGGAAATAACTTCCAGAAGAGACCTCTCCAGGAATTTCTCTATATTCTCTTCATTAAATGGTTCTATATTCTGGCTTCAGTCTTCAGTCTTTCAGAGTGTGAGAAGCTCACTTTACTGGTTATTTTTAAAAATTTTTGTTTTTATTTTATTTGAATTGGGTTTTTGTCTGAATGTATGTCTATGTGAAGCTGTCAGATCTTGGAATTACAGACAGTTGTAAGATGTCAGGTGGATGCTGAAATTGAAAACAGGACCACTGTAAAAAGAACCAATGGTCTTAACTGTCGAGTCATCTCATCTATCCAGATGAAATACTGGTCATTTTTATGCCAACTGGACACAAGTTAGAGTCAATAAAGAGGAAGGAGACTCAATTGAGAAAACAATCAGGCTGTAGGAAAGCATGAAGGGCATTTTCTTAATTAGTGACGGAAGTGGAAGGGGCCAGCCCATTGTTGGTGATACTACCCCTGCGATGGTGGCCTTGGGTTTCATAAGAAATCAGATTGAATGGACGCACCCCTCACGGTCCTGACTTCCTTGCTCATGTTCTCCCTCCTTCTGCCCTTGATATGGACCTTAGGAGCTCAGTCCAGTGCTCCATTGTGGGTCTCTGTTTCTATCTCCATCCATCGCCAGATGAAGGTTCTATGGTGATATGCAAGATATTCATCAGTGTAGCTATAGGATAGGGCCAGTTCAGGCACCCTCTACTCTGCTGCCCAAGGAACAAGCTGGGAACATCTCCTTAAACACCTGGGAACTCATCCAGAGTCAAGTCTCTTGCCAACCTTAAAATGGCTCCCTTAGTTAAGATATCTACTTCCCTGCTCCCTCATCCACCCCTCCTCCATCCCAACCATCCCATTCCCTCAAGCTCTCCCCATCCTCCCCATCTCCCTTCTCTCTTCCCATATCCCCTTATCCCCACCCTACCCCCACCCCCGTGCTTCCAACCCCTGTTTGTAATCTTGTCCACTTCCAATATCCAGGAGGATAACTATATGTTATTCTTTGGGACCACGAGGGGTGTGTCCACCCACTGAAACGGTGAGACTGATCTAATGGGAGATCACCAAGGCCAGTTGGACTGGAACTGATGGAGCATGTGATCAATCTGGACTCTCTGAATGTGGCTGAAGGTGGAGGCTGATGGAGAAGCCAAGGACAATGGCGCTGGGTTTTGATTCTACTGCATGGACGGGCTTTGTGGGAGCCTAGTCTGTTTGGGTGCTCACCTTCCTGGACCTGGGAGGATCAGGGAGGACCTTGGACTTCCTATAGGGTAGGGAACCCTGACTGCTCCTTGGACTAGAGATGGAGGGGGAGGAGGGATGGGGGGAGTGGAGGGAAGTGGGAGGAGGGAAGGAGGTGGAAATTTTCAATAAAAAAATAAATTAATTAAAAATAAAACCAAAAAAAAAACAAAGAAAGGAAATCAGATTGAGAAAGACATGAATGAATCAGGAAGCAGCATTTATCTACAATATCTGCATCAGATCTTTCCTTCCAGGTTTCTGCCTTGAGGTTCTACCCTGACTTCTGTAGGTGATGGACTGTGATCTGAGGATTGTAAGCTGAAATACACCTATTCCTCTCTGAACTGTTTGTGGTCATGGTGTTTTATAACAGTAAATAAACCCTAACTGAGATACCCACATAACTAAATTCCCCACAAAACACAGGTGAATGACAGTCTCTTCTATGTGTGACATCATCAGATCTATCAAGTATTCCATTAACCACATGTCAATGCAAAACAACTCAATGAAATAGGTAAAACATTATCCCAGGGTGGACATCAGTTGAAGTAATCTCATTAAACTATTGATTGACCTCTAAAATTATTTCAAAAAAGCAAAGCTTGCAATGAAATTAAACAAAATTTGAAAATATTATTTATCTATTTATGTGTTACTAACTGATCAAATATGCTCTTTTACTAAAAAACTTTTCAGATTTGGCCTTTATAACATAGATCACCTAGTATTTCTCATTATAAAAATAGTAGATAGCATACATTCAGGTAGGGAAAAAAGAACTAGAAACTTTGATTGGTCAAAGTGATTTAAAAGAGAATAAAATGCCCCAGTCTAAGAAGTAATAATTATAAAAGTAATAGTGAGTAAAACTGAAATTAAAATTCAATTTTAAAATAGACACATTATCAATTTTAAATTTTTTAAAAAGAAAAATATAACCCATTGGTTTTCACACCAGCCCTGGAATGAAGATTCCATGGCCTTGTAATTGTCCCTCCGGAGTGGAAAGTATGCTACCCCTGAGAGGTCCTATTCTAAAGCCACTCTTCCACAAAGTTTCGTACAATGGTGGGAACTAAAAATGTCCTTCCTCAATTGTGTCTGACACAGAAGGAAATGTCTACTGCTAATTAAAAATAATGTTGTGATAAAGAACAGAACGGAACATTCATTTAATCAAATTCCTCAAGCCATTTATAGACATAAAGAAAAGGAAATGACCTATTAAAGGAAGGTGTAATCCATAAATCCAGATCATAAAGTCCCAAACTATGAGACTTTCTTAAACATATTTTCACAGGATATTTTTAATATTCTGAAAACAATTACAGGATAGAAGTTACTGAAAAAGTTTAACAGCCTGATGTAATGAGTGAATCTTGTTTTGTTCATTTTTCCAACACAGCTGAAGACATATTTTTCCGATAATTAGATGGAAGTTGAATATAGACTGTCTATTAAACGATATTAAAGAATGGTAGTTCATTAGTTGGGTGTTACAGTGAGATGACAGTTTTGTAAAAAAAAAAAAAATTCTTTTCAGCCAAAGATACACATTAAGTGAAATAGCATGGGAGTTTCTGTAAAGTACTTAAGGAAGAAAGGAAGGGAGGGATAGGATATGAAATAAAATGAACAAAACAGCAGTAATTGTGGCTACTTACAGTTCTGAAGTGGTTCATTTAACATTGTCTCCTTCTGTGTTTCTTTGAAGTTTTACATTAAAAAGTTTTAAAATGATTAAAGATTACAGAGGAAAAAAAGCTTTGGACATCTTGATATCTAGTGGTGAATAAGAGCCCTGTGGGGAGAGAAGAATTATTAAATGTTTTTTCAGTTAACTACTAGATTAAAATTAAGGGTCAAGAACAAATAAGCATGCCTTACAACACTGTGTGATGCATCCCAACTACGAAACCTAGGTAACTCTTAATTGTGAAAGGAACAAGAGACATGATTTGAAATAAAAATTTAAATATTTTTCTTTGAAAATTATATTAATATTTACATGAGAGGAAGGGTAGAAAATGAAGGAAGAAAAGGGAAGAACTAAAGGATGAGAAGGAAGGAAAGAGGGAAAGCACAATTGGGGCATTAATTACACATAAAACAATAAAAGATTTGAATGAGATAATGCAGGAATATCTGGTAAACAATGTAAATCAATAGCCCTTCTATTTTTAAAAAGTACACATTAATAGTATGAGGACGGTAGCTATCTCAGACTAATCAGTACGGTTTTCTGATCCAATAAAAATTCTAGTTCAATTTTGATTTAATCAATAATCATACTATCAATTTTTGTGGGAGAATAAAATTGTATAAATGACATTATTTGTGGTACCAGGAGTTTAAAGAATATGATTGGGTCTCTTACGAAAGTCAATGAAATCAGAATGAATTTGCTATGAGATAATCTGTAGCTTTGCACTGTGGATAGCACTGTTAGTCTAGACTGGTCCTAAACTCACTGCAACACCCTGAAGTACTGGGATTAGATGTGTAAACCACCACACTCTGTAGTAATGGGATTATAGTAAACTACTACTCCTAACTATTCTGTGACCTCCTGAAACAAGAATATGTTGTATGAACAATATGGGAGGTCCAAATGCATAGTGCTAGTAGAAAAGGTAAGAAACAATATATAACTATAACTCACTGATCTATAACTCAGTGTTATATAATGCAATCACTATTTTGATGAATGTATATTGAACTTGTGCAAATAAATGGCTACATTGAACACTATGATATTTGTCTAGTGTAAACATAGAGTGAAAATGGGAACTAGGGAGAGAAAGTACAAAGGAGACAGAGAGTTACAGGGAGAGACAGAAAGAAAGAACAGAAGATTATGTATAAATCAAACATGGTAATCAGTTGAAGAATAGCTGCCCAATTGATTCAGCCCGTTTCATCTGAGTCCTATTAAAAGTTGGTAACTAAGAGATTAATATGTGGAAATTCTGTTTTTGATTGATTATAGATTTAGTGACATAAAATTACATTTTTCTCCATGGATAAAATAATTCTTCCTGGATCTATATTATATTAGTCTTCCAACTCAAAAAACAAGATATGACAAGTAGGATATTAAAAGAGCACATATGCATTAGTTTGTGATATCTGCTGGTCAGCTGTTTGAATAAAGATTACTCTGTCCTCTGCTCAGGATTAAACAATGTTAGAGCGTACGTAGTTTTCATCATGACTGCATTCTCATCTGGAGACAGGACTGAAGAATTTACTTCTTGGCTCATTCTTATTTTGTTGATATAATTAATCCTGTGTGATTTTAAGACTGAGGATTCTATTTTCTTTGAGGGACTATGGACTAAAGCCAGAATTTAATGTATATAAACACATGCTCAACCACTGACCTATATCTGCAGTCCCCCTATTTTTCTGGCAGATATCAGACAGAGAGACTGCATGTACACACACACACACACACACACACACACACACATGCACGCACACATGCACACACAATTATGTAATGGACAACATTCTAGTCATAAAATCCAAATCAAATATTCTACCTACACTCAGAGTAAGGACATACACAAGGGAGCTTTTTGATGTGAATTTGCATAAAATATTTATATTATCCTACTTCCATGAAGGCTATGTATTAGCTTTCCGATTTTAGACTCAAACTCTAGAGTTAACAATAGTTGTTACATTGTTGGAAATAGCAGGAGAGATAGGAATACTAAAAGAAATAATTAAATATATAAATAAGAAAATAGTGTATAATTTATAGTCATACAAGTAACCATTGACTCCTCCTCTGCAAAAGACATAACTTCAAAAATGAAGTATCAGTTTTGTAACATAAAATGTAACATTGCTTGATGAAAATCCCTGGAAAAAGTAAGAACCAGTATATATCAGTGCTTGCTTATGGGACAAGATTGATAGCAAAGAGCAGGGAAAAAAAGAACCTTTTGATTTTTATTTAAAATTTCTGTTATAATTCATTTATTTTTACTATAGTATAATTTGCATATTACTTTTAACCTTATATAAAAAGCAAGCCATATTAGTAATTTGGTGACAATATTTATATCTTTGGATATGTTGGATGAAAACAAAGGTTATATGTATCTCCATTATTTTGAATATAAAATATCCTCCACAGCTTCTCATGCTTGAACATTTGGTTCCCATTAGGGGAGCTGTTTGGGGGTGAGTTTGTGAATACTTTGGGTATGGTATCTACCTTACATAAGTACTTCACTGGGAACAAACTTTGAAGATGATTTCTGCTTGTAGGTCTAGCTTGAACTCTGCTTTCTCATATGTCAAGGTACAAGAAGCTATCCATAAACTCTACCACCAGAGATCAAACAACTTCAGCTATCATTCAATCCTTACCATATAGGCTGAACCCTCTAGCACTGGGAGTCAAAAGAAATCCTTCCTGGCTACAGGAGCTTCTGTCAATTTGTGGTCAAGGAAACTAATATAATCAAATCACCTTCATGTTTATAGCCATCAAAATTAAATAAAAAACTGGATCAGCAAATTTATTTTAGGTAGATCCATGTTAAAACATTGATTTTTTTCATTGTAAGCACATTCTGCCATTCCTGTAGAACACATGTATTTCTTAGTTAGGGTTGTTCTTTCTGTGAAGAGACACCATGATCATGACAATTCTTATAAAAGAAAACATTTAATTGGGACTGGCTTACAGTTCAGAGGCTTAGTCCATTATTGTCATGGCAGGAAGCATGACAACATTCAGACATGGTGCTAGAGAAATAGTTGAGATCTAGATCAGCAGGCAGTAGGAAGAGAGTGATACACTGGTCCTGGCTTGAGCAGCTGAGACCTCAAAGCCCATCCCTAGTGACACACTTCCTCTAACAAAGCCACACCTACTCCAACAAGGCCACATTGCTGTTGAAGGAAGGACCACTTGTTCATCCTGGCTGCCCAGAACCAAAGTAATCACACAGAAACCATATTATTTAAATCACTCCTTGGCCCATTAGCTCTAGCTTCTTATTTGTTAACTCTTACATCTTAATTTAACCCATCTTCATTAATCTATGAATCACAAGGTCGTGGCCTACCAGTGAACTTTTATCACATCTATCTCTGGTGGCAGCTCCATAGCTTCTCCCTGCCTCCTTCTTTCTCCCAGCATTCAGTTTAGTTTTCCCTGCCTACCTCTATGCTACCCTATTAACAGGTCAAGGAAGTTACTTTATTAACCAAGGGAATTTACAGCATATAGAGGGGAATCCCACATCATATTGCCTAATAATGTCACTCTCTATGGGCCTATAGGAGGCATTTTCATTCAAACCACAAATTCTACTCCCTAGCCCTACAGTCTTGTAGTCATATCAAAATACAAAATATATTCAGCCCAACTTCAAAAGTCCAAATAGTCTATAACAATCTCAAATTTGTTTAAAAGACAAAAGTCTCTTCCAAGACTCTCAGTCTCTTAACTGTAACCCCCTATAACTGAAAATAAAATAAAAAATTAGACCACCTACTTTCCAGATACAATGACACAGGGTATACATTATTGCTCCAAAAACAAGGAAAAGGAGCATAGTGAGTAAATACTGGACCAAAGTAAGACCTAAACCAGCTGGGCATGCTCCAAACTATGCATCTCCATGTCTAATGTCAAAGTACTCCAGGTCTCCAATTCCTTTCAGTATTATTGACTGCAACACATTGCTCACTGTTCCAATCCCTGTTAACAGCTCCCCTTGGCAGGTATCCCACACTCTTTTATCTCCAAAATCTTGGGGTTCTTCAAGGCAATATTTCATTCAATGGCTTTTGTGAGCCTCCATACAGGAACACCCCCAGCACAAGCCTGGCTTTTCTTAGTCATGAAAATAGATTGCATAACCCTTTTCTTGTATCCTTGATTCTAAAGTCAAAACCACATGGCCAAAATTGTCAAGTTCTACTACTTGCTGGGGCTAAACCATGACTCCTTTGTTCAAATACATTTTTACCAGCTTTCTGTTTTCAATGGTTTCCTTTACAGCCTGTTTGGTTGTCTTGAAATTCGATCTGTGGATTAAGTTGGTTTTAAACTCAGAGATCTACAAACTCTTCCTTCTGTGCTCTGAGATTAAAGGTGTACATCACCAGTCTTACCCTGAGCTTTAATTTATCTTAATTTTTCTATAATTCCTCTTCACAAATTTGAAGCTTTGATAGATGAGGTATCTCTCTGAGGACACCTTTATTTTACTTGGCACCAGGTTCTTTTAAAATCTGTTTTATATTTCTTTTTCTCCTCCAACTATATGTTTTGTATTTTTTCTTGTTCAGCTCATTCTTTTTCACTGTGGCTCTGAGTAAGACTGGCGACTTTTAGCCACACAGCACAGTCACTGCTAGGTTGTTTGAAAATACCCTCTGCCAAATTTGTTAATCTAAAACTCTTCAATTTAGTCTCAGCAGATTATAGATGAGGGCAGAAAGGAGCTACATTCTCACCAAAATATTGCAAGAATGATCTCTAGGCCACATAATAGTATTCTTCTACTCTGAAACCCCTTGAACTGGCACCCACAGTTCAAACAATCCTCGCCACTACTCTTTCCATGATCCTATTAGTATGCCTATTAGACCCAATTAAAGTGTCCAGTTGCTTTTCTCGTACAAAGTCCCAAAGTGTTCCATATTCCTCCAAACAAAAGCATGGTCCAGCCTATCACAGCAGTACCCCAGACCCTGGTATCAACTTCTCTCTTAGTTAGGGTTTCTATTGCTGTGAAGAGACACCATGAC